AGTTAATACTGTGTCATTCATTCAGCACAATCTGGATCTCCCAGTCCCAACATGATCTTTATCTGCAAGGCCATTTGTCCTCTTCAGACCTTTGAAATGGCTTGTGAAGGAAGTTGGGAAGGCAAATTGCACCATTGAATTTGCAAAGACGAAATGTGCATCAACATTTCTCAGTGCCCTTCTCTCCTACTGTAAACGCCTAGGACATGGAGTGTGACAGGCTCCATTTGTTCGAAGGAGTTATGTGAGTGAGAATAGGTGACCCTGATGGATACAGCGCATTTCATGTGCATCCTTTCTTTGTTCCAGCACTTCCAGGCAATGGTTAAATCTCTGGAGAAAGAGGCAGCGAGTGAGAAGCAGCAGCTTGTGGAAACTCACCTGGCTCGTGTGGAAGCCATGTTGAATGATCGCCGCCGAATTGCTCTGGAGAACTACCTGGCTGCCCTGCAGGCTGACCCGCCGCGGGTGAGTTTCTTTGCAACAAATTTTGACAGCAGGGTGGCGCTGGGTAGGGTGGAAGGTGGGAATGGCTTGGTGAGAAGACTGCACGTGGCCTGCCGGGGCAGAAGCTGGGGATAGGTGCCCAGTAAAGCTTTCTCCGTTGTGGCAGTTTGTGCTGAAGACCTAGCAGTGGGTCTCCTAATTGACTTACTCTGCTTTCTGCCTGGTTAAAAACCGCTCCGCTTTGTTTGGTGTTCATAAGGCATAGTGTTCTGAGTCAAACAGACTTAATTTAAAAAGAAAATATCTAAGAGGTTAGCGCAGGTGATTGATCTGTCCAGTAACAAAGCAGGCTCACATCTGAAGTGCTGTATTTCAGCTGTGAATTTTGTTTGAATCAAATGGATCTGAACTCTTCCCCTCCTCAAATCCTGCAGCCCCACCGCATCCTGCAGGCTCTGAAGCGCTATGTTCGTGCTGAGAACAAGGACCGTCTGCACACCATCCGCCATTACCAGCACGTCCTGGCAGTTGACCCAGAAAAGGCTGCACAGATGAAATCTCAGGTATAAGAATGTTTCTATCAAGGGAGGCATTGTTACCCAGCCCTGGCTGTCGGAGGCTCTAGAAGCCATGCGTCGAGTCCTGACGCTAATTTGCTGGGTACTATAGCAACTTCTCATACTTGTGCAGAGGTCTCCCATTCTGTATGCATGTTGCCTGTCACCAGATACGCTGTCTGTATGATTTTCCTCGGTACTAGACTCGGTGTTAAAAATTGGAACTCTGGTTTTAGCCATGAACTACTGTTGGTCACAGTGACGAGGTCAGGGGTTTAGAGCTAGTTCGGTACCACTTTTGTGCTTCCTTTTGTCAAGCACCTGTGAAATTATTTGCTGGGGACTTGAACAGACTTCCTCACTTCTTTCGAGACCTCGTGTCTACGTGTTCCTTTCGTTAGGCTCGTTCTTCATGATGCTTGTGTTTTGGGTTTGTGGAAATTCTCTTGTGCCTCTGCAGAGTTATTGCCGTGTTTACAAAGCGTAACATATAGCCTTTGCCAAGCACTTGATCATCATTGTTAGCTTTATTAGAAAGTCTGTTTTGATGAGTTTATTTTGTGCCGTTGCCATATATTTTACTCCCAAGCAGCCAGAGAGTCATTTTCTTTCTGCTGGGTAGTGTATGTGAATAATGCTACTTCAAGTGGGTGTCAAACCTGGCCAATGTACTTGTAAGAGTAGTTGCAGATATTCCACAAATCCTTGGAATTATCTCCCGATGCTTGTTTTTACAACCCACTTTTAAAATGGTGAAAGATGTACTGAAAGGCCTGAGAGATTCAAATGAAGGACGGCCTGCTAGCATCGAAAGGTCTGCTCATAGGGGAATGTCCTTTCACAAGTTCAGGGAGAAGCGGAGAGAACTGACTGTCCAGTCACAGCTGTAGGAACGTAATCTGTGTTTTACCAGTCCCAGTTTACTGGGAAAAAAAATGCTTTATTACTTGGCTGTCTAACCATTAGGTGGAAATACTGTGGTTTAAGAGTAGGACAGGGACCGGAGTCTGTCACCGTCACCTCTGGTGAGGTGTAGAGTAGTGTTGCAGTGATTTTCTAGAGGCAAACCTCACACTTGGAGGGGTCTGGTCCGTGGCTTTCATGTTGGTTCTGGGTGCTAGCGGCGGACCTTCAACTCTTGTGTCTCGGGTTGTCTGCCACCGATTCTATGATTCCTGTTAAGATGCGCATCCTTAGAAAGCGTGGTAGCAATTGTGGTATTTACAAGCTGATGTTTGGCTTGTGATGCGGAATATGCGGTAGCATTTTCAGAGACAGCTTAGCATACCAAGCGCAGCCCACCCTGACCCTTTGTTCTGATGCTGCCAAAGCCCAAGAGGGAGTGTGTGAACTGTTTTCTTAAGCTAAAACCTAAACAGTCCTTAATTCATTCTGAAGGCTGCAGTGTCAACAAATCGACATGCAAGGGATGTGGGTGGTACAGTTCAATTTCCATTCGCTTTGCTTCTCAGATGCACTTTAAGCTCCTCAATCGATTCCCTTGATTGACAAGCTGCCACATGTAAAATTAAATTGCTTTCATCCTTGCTCTTAAAGGTCAGGTACACGTCAGATTGTAAAACAGGTCCATTCAACTCCTTAGCTTTTTCCAACATTTCGCTGTCCGTATAAATGTTTTTCTTGGTCTGCATGATCCCTGATTACGCAGCACCCTCTTCAGGTCAGGCTTGACTTCACCAGTGGATTTAATATGCTAGGCAAGAGCGATTTGAGGTTGCATAGAGTTTGAATTTATTTCTCAAATGAAGGGAGAATGCTGTTGCCAGTGAGTGGGTGTAAGACAAATGTAATGCCACCATTGTTCTGAAAGGCATCTTTGTTCTGAAACCAGAGCTGATAAATAATATTGTCTGCTCCCTTTGCATGTATCTTTTCTAGTAGTCAGGAATGATAATCCATTTAATAAAGCGCTTGCTTGTAGCTGCTGCAGGAAATGAATTATGACCATATCTGGCACATGGGGAATACCGGCTTCAGTGTTGCCAGTGGAGAGTTGGTTACAGCAAGAGTCAGCTGAATCCTCTCTCTCACCCCCAGCCTTTCCCAAAATACTGAGCGCGCCATGTACAAATGGCCAGTTCCAGTGAAGCGTGACGTGTTAGAGAGCATCAGTCAGAGAACTGGACTAGATGGACCTGTGTCCCGTTCTGTTGTCTGTCATGGCAGATCCACCAGTAGTCGATACTTTATTTAACAAGTGAAGTATCGGTACCAGTCGAGTGACTGACGGTCTTTGCCTACTCCAACACACTCTTGTACATTTGCAGGTGATGACACATCTCCATGTGATTGAGGAACGGATGAATCAAAGCTTGTCTCTGCTCTACAAGGTGCCATATGTGGCTGAAGAAATCCAGGATGAGATTGGTGAGTGTCTCTGCGTGCCAGCTCCCATGCGACTGTGTTAGACTACGAGCTTTTATATCAAGTGAAGCGGGCTCCAGAAAGACCGCTAGCTCCTTTGAGGGGATGCCGTCAACAACAGGCGCTTAGGCTTAGCCTTAGGTACCGCAGGGCAGATACTCTCTGGGTTTTGCAACACAGCCAGTCAGAATAGCTTGTTCCTAAGAACTTCCACGATCCCTTTAAAAAAAGTCGACAGCGTTCAGAGTAGCAAAGCTCTCTCTCCAGGGGAGATGAAAAAGATCCATAAAAATAAGGAGATGCTTTCCCGCTTTGTAGGAGTTTAATCCCATCTTGCCAAAACCTCTCACCACATCAAGCCTCTTGGCCCTTATTTGTATGTATTTCTAGCCAACGCCTTTACTGAGAATTCCAGATGAGACTTCAGAGCATGCAAGATAAGATAACCTGGCAGCCCCGAACAGCGTTCCCCTGCAGCCCTGCCTCAGCTAGGTTCAAACCATCTGCCCCTTTCTGTTCCTGCCAGGCTTCATGCAGTTTGTGTAATATTTCCTCTTATTCCTTTCAGATGAGCTGCTTCAGGAGCAACGTGCAGACATGGATCAGTTCACATCCTCCATTTCTGAATCCCAGGTGGACGTCAGAGTGAGCTCCGAGGAGAGCGAAGAAATTCCCCTGGAGGGCAAACCTTTCCGTCCGTTCCAGGTGAAAACCTTCCCAGCCTCACCTGAAAGCGAAGGTATGTGGAACTGGAAATGGGGTTCACTGGCTTTACAGAACGTAGGCGCTTTTTCTTAGCCAGTAGGCTCAGCTCGGTGGAACAGAAAGGTTCATCCCCTTGGGTGATGTAAGAGTTAAGCAGTCTCCCCAGCAGTGCCCCTCAGACTCTGTCCATTGGAAAGAGGCAGTGGTGCTAGTAATTTGCACTGAGCTACTGTCTTGATTCTCTGATTCTTCTCTTCGCAAAATTGCTTTATCTCTTTCCATTTTGCAGGGAGTGTTAAATTTTTACTGTGTGGTTTGACTCTGGAATTAATTTTCAGTCTTTTGCCAAAACACTCCCCTATAATGTTAAGTCTTTGTGCCGTGACCTGCTGAAGGGCTGCAGGAATTCTCTTTATTTTTTTAAAAATATATATCTACGGGTTTTGTATCATCGGGTGTTGACAGCTGGTGCGTGCGTGTGTGTTTATTTTAAAAATGCTTGAACAGAGTCCTGAGCTTAAAGAAAGCTGTAGACTAAAAGCTTTTCCCAGGGCCTGAGTCGGAAATCACGCGCAAGCCTTTTTTCCTTTCTCTCTTAATCTCCTTTCTCTGCTATTTTTGTTTTTGTTTTCCCTCCTGCTAGATCCTCAGCCGGATTTGTACCATCCAATGAAAAAAGGTTGGTTCTAAGCTGCTCCCTCACAGTGCTTTCGATCACTCTCCTACCTTCTCAGTGTGTTTGATAGCTTCACTTTAGTTTCATACTCACCTTTGTTTTCATTTCCCTGCTCTCATTTAGATCAGTAACTTCCGATTCTGCTTGTTTAGGCCTAGTATTAAAGAAACGAGCTAGTCTGAGCATCTAACTGATTGTGTATGTTCCTCCCTGATGGGCTCACAAGGTCTCTGAGTGCATGGAGTAGCTTCTTTGTCCTCAAGAAATGTGGGCCTAGCAGTCTGTCTGCAACCGTGCCGTACTTTGCATCTCTCCATGTGTACTCATGTTCGACACTTCTCAAAATAAACCTTGCGGTGCTGATGGTCGATAGTCTGTAGAGGCTCTTCTGACAGCACTAAACTAGGAGTGAGAGTGCTGCAGCAGACATAGGCTGTGTTTCCCGGCTGAATGTCCTCATAAATATTATAGAGTGCAGTCGGTCTGGGACAGATAAATTAGGAGATTCCTTCTTTGTGTTTGTGGTCTCCTTGGCATCACGTTTTCACACGCAGCATCTCTCTGTACTAGCAAACTCCTGTGTGATTATCTGTTTCTCCTTTAGGTCATTATTAATTCTGCAGTAACTCAGTGCCTGGCTAAAAAGGGGCTGCCTGGGCTTTAAGAGCGGCATAGAAATATTGGCATTACATTAAGTCCTCTGTTAGCGATGCAGTCTCAGGTAAAGATCAGGCCTGGCTGATCTGCTACCACAGATCTAGTTCCTGAAGTAGAAATGGAAGGCTGATTCTTAAAATGCTCTTGCAGAATAGTGGTGCATGCGCTACGAGTGGGGTGTAAACCCAGCATTTTAATCTGCCTTTGGTTCCAAATATATTGTGCAGAATCTCCAAGGAGGGCAAAGGATTTTGCCAATAACCATTTAATATGAACACAAATAGTTTTGTCACGTGGTGAAGGCCAGGTAGCTTGAAACTCTTCTCATTATCAGCGTTTCTCTACAAATGTAAGTCACCTTCATCCCTCTTGTGGAACAGCGCACAGCTAATTCAGTGTACTGACTGCTCTGGGAAGAATTGGGACAGCCTTTCGTTTGAAAGTTGGAGTTTTTTAGGTTGGGGGTTTTTTTTTGGTTTTTTTGGACAACTGCTTTGTTGACTTAAAGATGATAAATACAGGCTGGTTCTCCTCCTTTGGATAAATGGAAGAGTTTCTGATGACTTAGGAACAAGATTATATCCTGCGCTTGCCCCTTCTCTCCCTTCCGTTTTCATTTCATGAGGGCTGCTAGGGAGTTTGTTTTTGGTTTTGGGGTTTTTTTTGTGCGTGCGTGTTTTTTTCCCTGGGAAGTATATAATCTAAACTGTGCCTTTGAGCTACGTAGAACTGGGTCTGTTAGTTGGTACAGCGCTCTGTGACAAATGGCAAAGCTCAGTGCAGCAGCTGAACCCCCAGCCCTGGAGACTAAGCTACGTTGGCTCCTGAGAATTGAATAAAGCAGCCATCGGCCAAAAGCTAACACAGGAGTTCTCTAAAAACTGTTTGTGGCTAGTCTCTCCAGAAAATCCCAGTCATTGACTTTCACAATAACATGACCTGCTTCGACAGCCGTGAGAAGTCAGACTGGCAGTCTTGGCCGTGCCTGGAATCTGATTACTGTCTCCAAAGAACCGTACAGGAAAAGGGGATGCACTAAAACCCGAGATGCTGCTTTTGGGAGGAGTTGGAGTGAAATGTTAGTTTCCTTGGCATTTTCAGGCAGTAAAAGCTTGTCACTGTAAAAAAACTTGCCTTGGAGCCAAACTAGCCTTTCCTTGCATCTCATCAAAGAACCTGCTGCCAATTTCAGCAGCAGTTGACATAATGTCTTAGGCAACCTGCAAGCTTAGCAGCTTGCGGAGAGGTGTGTGCGATCACTGGCAAAGTGTTAAGTGCTGTAGTAATATTTCCCCCACCTCGTGCTCCTCGGTGGAGACACCCTGCCGTAGGTTTGAGGCTTCGCTGTCCTGCTTTTGCATTAGGGAGACATAGGTGTTGTGAAGAACATTGGGTTGTGCCTACTGATAACGGAAAACTGGCGTTCTCCTAACTTGCTGCGTTATGTTAGGTCTGAGTATCTTGCATCAGGCTCTTCTGTTATTGATCTGATCTATTTATAAACGCTTTGGATCAAAACAGTTTATGCAGAGCAGCTGCCTTCTGTTAATTGATATTCTTCTCTTGAGCCTATGCTAGTTTCGGCCTAGAAGTGGGTGAGTGATGTTCTGGTACAAAGGCTGGTGTAGTTCTTTGCTCCTCCCTTGCCCTGGGATTTATTGTTTCTGGGCTTGTGCCAGATACGGGACAGCAGCTCATTACAGAGCCGTGCTGGGTGACCTTGAAATTCTCATTCCCGAGGCGCTCGCTGATGCGCTTGATTCCAAAAGAATGGGCGATGCTGACCGTGGGGTTGAAAGCATTCCCCGTGTGCTGGGTCTCGGCAGAGAGGAGATGCGTGCTTCCGTCACGGGGGGTCACGGTGAGGTGGCGGTGGCCCAGGGTGACATTAGCAGAACGGAACTGCGCGCTCACAATTTGTGTTCCGTGTTGCCTTGACCTTCTAACAGCAGCACTTAACGGTACGGTATTTCTGGATTCACACGGCAGCCTGGTTTTGGTGAGTCTTGTCTGCTCCTCTCATTGCCACCTCATTTCCCCTCATTAACAGAAGCCCCCCCCCCCCCA